TAAATGGTTAGGTAGAGGGAAACCTTTTTTTTATTTCACTTGTCAAAAAAAAAAAGTAGAGAACCTTCAATATTAAGGAATCTACTCTTCATTTAATAGTTACTATTTTACAATTTATTACAGTTTAAATTACATAATAATTTTTTATTTTTCATACATATATAAATATATGATTATCCTATTTTATAGGTCAAACTTTAAAATATTTTATAAAAGAAGGACTTTTAATATGAAGCGGCTTATTTTTATTAAATAATTAATATTTTACTATTTAAAACAATTTAGATTATATAAAATGTTTTTTCGGATGTATATATATATATAAACAAAATGAAAAAACGAGTTGGGCCTATGCCTAGGTAGCTTACATAGCTGCTCATGACAACATCCATAATGCATTGACATCAGGGCGCACCTACCTCTAGTTAATGAATTCGACAACGAGATGTAGTACTGGCGTACTAGCTAGCCACATGCACAACTAAGACCCAATGATATACATGCAGGTGGGTCTCACTTATTCAACTTCTATCATTTTCCATTGTAGAGACAATTATTTCGGGCTTCAAAACACACACACCAAGTACTTTAAAACCCAAGTTTAAAAAAGAAGAAGAAGAAGGATTGATGGCCAATTTTCAAATAACCTGATTTTCGAAATAAAATAGTAGAAAAAAAGGACTTTATTCGATCTCGATAAGATAGTTCTCATCAAATTATCTACACACATATTATGCCTAAAGAGCTTCTAAAATATCTAGATCTAGATGTTGCAACAAACTAAAGCATTATCTTGTTCCAAAGGAATACGGCAAAACAACTGCCACGTAGGAGGGGAGAAACCACATCATTGATAGCCATGGCGAAATGGAATTGCATCAAGGAACCAAAGCTAAGTTACATATATATTCCGATGCCCATCAACATGTGGTATCAATATATAGGAAATGTAATAAGCATATATTGATTTTACATAAAAATCACAAGTTAGATGCAGGTCTTGTTGAATAAACTGGTTTAATTGTATTTATCTAAAAAGAAAAAAAAAAAAAATCAAGGGTGTACATCACCACGGGTGGTGGAATAACTAGTTAGCTTGAGTGTGTTTACCCAAATTTGATAATAAATCAAATACGGAGCATAGCTAGATATGAGTTGGTTGGTATAAATATTTTTGGGAAAGTTTGTAAAGTGTTTGTTGTGTACTCATTTTATTTGATTGAGGGATATATAGATGAGTTGGTCGGGTGCTTTATTGTGTTTGGGTTTTCATTTTTGGCTTGTTTGGTTTAATTGTTAAAAATCATGCAACTTATGGTTGGTAAGTCTCTAATTAAATAAATAAAATAATAACCATCAAATGTTATATATCAATTATGTATCTAATTATTTTTTAACAATTAAACTAAGTATAATTTTACTTATCATTAGTATGTTGCCCTATTTTCTTTTAAGAAATTTATGAAACAAGTACTAGATGTACATTAATTAATATATACATTGAGTAGAGATACTAGTTTTTGTAGTTTGTTTTATGTGAACAGCACATTTTATAATCATTAATAAAGAAGATACCATCTTAATATATATTACAAAATAGCTATAGGTACAATATCTCGTGGTATTGTAAATTTATAACATGATGTGTTATTATATAATTAACTCTTTTTATTTAGAGATCCACTTATAATATTATATATATTCATTTAATATCATATCATATTTCATTTAATAACACATAAAATGATACGTAAGTTTATAATCTTATGTGACATTATAATTATATCATTGTTGTATAATTAAAAGACTTCTCATCAATAGTAAATAAAAAGCAAACTGTCTATTACATTTTTGTATGAGAGTATGTCATCTAAGAAACCTAGAATAACCTATTATATTGAATAGTTATCCATGGGGCCAAAATGAAAATCAAAGCATTATTTATATATAAGATAACAATGAGTTTCTTATTTTATAATTCAAGTTATATTAAACTGTAAAAAAAAAAATTATTAGATAGAAAAGGAAGTTTTGAATAATATAAAATTTATTCTCTTTTAATGATTAAAATTATACAATTCAAAACAATTCAAAGTCTGTAACACTTTTTCAATCAACACTACATGTACCATCTTCATTAGTTTTTCATAAACATAATGAAAAGAAACAAACGAAAATTCCTTACATCGCTACCATTTTTAACAATTCCAATTTCAGATTCAACGTCCCCCCCCTTTTTTTTTTTTTCTCTCTAAATTTTTTATTAATTTCCAGCATACCATTAAACAAATTACGTACAATAATAAATAAAGAAAGGTAGACCAGTGTGTGGAGCCGACTTTGGCACGTGATTGGAAGATGATAAAGATATTAGATTAAGTGGCGCTTTCAAGTTTCAAGGGTGTGAGGAGGAGAGGGTGGGATATGGGATTCACATGACGGATGGAGAGAAAGGAAAAAATGGTTAGCCTGTCAATCATCAATCTGCTTTGCAGTTGGAACTTGGAAAATATGTGTTGTAGGGATAGGAGCCTGAGAAACGCTACATTTTCCACCATTTTTTTATATATAAATAGAAAAAGTTTTTCCCCTTTTTTTATTATATAGAAAAAAAATTGTTCTTGCGTGGAAAGAAAAGAATTGTAGATGATTAAAAATTGAAATGTAATTATGATCAGAAGAAACTAAATAATTACTAATTTATTTTAATTATACACACCTAAGATTGAAGAGAATTAA